TCCTGCACGAAGCCTTCACCACTATAATCAAATCTCATGTGCCGATGTCGGGCTGTCGGTTTCCTGGAAACTGATCTGCTTGACCCTCATAAGTTGAATCTCGACGGAAGAGTCGATTATATATATATATATATATATATATATATATATATATATATCTCGATTCATGTCTTTCCGCTAAATTTTTCGCCAAAATTCGATTAGTGCATATATAGTAATTGACTTGTGCGGTAAAACATTTTTCAGTTTAACCACAGTAATTGAAAATTGATCTTTTATATTTACCGATGTACAAATTAGCCGCACTACTCGAGGAATTCCTGTATATTATATATATATTACATATAAATTCTAAAATTTTATAATTATAAAAATCTAATGAATTCATACTGTGAACTTTCCGCGTTGTAAACTTTCCTGTGGTCCTGTAAACGTCGCTGGCATGATCTTGCAGGTGAATAATAAAACAAGTGTATAGAATGAAAGGTATTAAGATATGGTTACAGATAGTCACAAGGACTAAAAGAATCCCATAACATCCGAAGAAGACGTAACATTAAAGGGAGGGAAGTCTGATTACAGCATCGGAAGAGAAAGATCGAAATCTCGAAGAAAAATAAATCCATCAAGATATCCGAAAAGGGGCTGAGAAGGTAATCAAAGAAATACCGAAAATGAAAACGTGTAGAAACAACATACGATCTATTTAGTATCAGGGAGAGAATTTTTGAGCCCCTACTCCGATTGGAAAAAAGAGATGCTAGGACAAACAAACTCGATCTAGACTTTTCAAAGAGCGTGTCTTATTTGGCAACCCTTGCGATTGAGTGTGATTTCGCACGAGAATTAGACTTTGACGAACTCATCCCGCATTTTGCTTGAATGAATGTTCGAAAAATGCACTTTTAATTTATAGATTACTGAGCTTTACAAACACCATATGGACAAGAAGCAAGGCACAAGCACATCGTTACTAAATCACTGTGCTATGAAATAAGACCCTCATTTACTCCAAAGCGAAATTATACTGAACAATTTAGTTATATTATGAAGTAATATATTATAATATAATACAGTGTAATAGTTTTAGTTCGAATTTCAATAAATAATGGAAATTTAAAACGGTTTGTCGTATAATTTGTGCCCAGCAGTATTAGGGTGTTATATATGCTTTTATCTATTTTCTGCTTTTATTAATTATGATCTAACAAATGATCTAACAAATCTTATTCATTGACTAACTTTTTTTTGATTTTTTTATGAGTTTTACACAATTTTTATTTATCGAATACATTAAAAATAAACGATTATTTTACTTGTGGTGATTTTTAATCAAAATAATGGTTTGAATATATTTTCCATTGAATTTATCGAATACAAAAGATAATCAACATTATTTGGATTTATTTTTGAAATAGTAAAATTTTGAAGTTATTTTCTAAGTAAAAAAATCTATGGAAATTCGGTAAATGATGAAAAAATGGTAAAAGCTATGAATCTAATTTTTGGTGTTAAACCTCAGCTTTTACATCAAATGCAATGTCGATCTTCAGAAAAAAGGTGAAATAATCAACCCGTCCAAATATAACATCCCTCGGTTTTCAACAGATCTAGTATTATATTTCCATTGCCTACTCTGCATAACCGAAGTAGATGGATATAAAACGGGCAGCGAATGACGTCACGTCTTTGCAGACAGACAAAGAGACCTGTGAAGATCACTGGTACACTTTACCACATCACAACACGAAGAATTTATGACGAATATATTAACACATTTTAGCCAATATATCGCACCCATATTCTTGTATATATTCGAGATGTTTTCTATGTGACAACGAAATATCGTGTTTGCCAAAAATTAAATTTTCTACTTAATAAGATAAAGAATATTTTGGCCAATCGAATACAAGAAAAAAAAAGGGAAAACGTGTTCTTCTTTAAGAATACACATCAAATAAACAGTATAATATATTTATACATTTTTTATAATGTCGTACACTGTGTTCAAGGTCAGGGAAGGTTACTCGAAGTAGAGCGTTACAAAGAGGCAGTTTATGCGGATAGGAGGAGAAAATAACTGTTAACCCTAGACTTAGATAGGTTAAGATTGTATTGATAGGGGAAACGTGCCCTTAGGACTAGGTTTCATATAGCAGGGAAGAAGCTGTTCGACTGGAAGGTAATTCTCGCCAGTGGAATACGGAGGGGATGAAAGTGGATTGCTACATAATAAGTGGCATGACAAATCCTGCCCGTGAAGGTTAGAATTAGCGGAACCAAGGAATGTAGTTCATCCGAGCACTTTCCATGGAAGTAGCGATAGTGCAATGAGAGGCTTGCCACATCCCATCTGTGAGAGAGCGGTTGGAGGGTAGAAAATAAGTTGTGATCCACAAGGAGTCAGGCTTTTCAACTATATCGATACTCGAAAGTGAGGACTGGGAAGATCCTGCCCAAATATGACAGCAGTACTCAATTTTCGACCTGATCTGTCTCTTGTAAATGATGTCACGTGGAGAGAGGTACTTAGAGAGAACAGACTATTTTCCTGGATGTTTAGAGATGGATCGTATATACAAGTTCCACTTGAGGTCAGGTGTGAGTTTAAAGCCCAATAATCTTTCAAGGCACGGAACATCCCCGTGGCAACATCCATCCATCGTGACTTATGGTAGTTCGAGGTTTGAATTTTATATTGTGCATACCTCTGGGGTTATCTTAATGCCTGCGATATTCGCATACTTCATACTGGGGTTAAGTTTAAGGGTTAAAGCTTGGCTTTTTCTAATAAATTTCACCCAATACATGAGCCACAAATGATAGATAGTGATGATAGTGTGTTTGATATAGATGAAAGAATCGGTGGTTAGAAGTGAAGATTATGAGTATGATAGATAACGTTTGAACTTGAAGATGTTAGGATTCTACTGTCCATGAAAGCATCACCACTGGAGTTAGTTCCCCCCCCAAGAATTGCTATTTTGTAAAACGGAGTGAATACTTGTCCTTAAAAGTGGAATTAGGAAGTGTTGAAACTTGACTAATGCATGGAATAATAATGCAACACAAAATGTACTTAGAACAAAATGTATTGAAACAAGAAAGTGTACACAATATTTACATATAGTCTTTTGTATATTCCTGGTAAGACCGTTCCTGGAGAATGTGTTGACTGAGTCGCAGTCGGGCAGAGTCTCTGGTTGAATCTCTTGATTCCTGTATTTATCTATCCACCCACGAGGATAAAATGTGGCACAAGGCCGGTTTAAAGTGGGTATCTCCGAGCCCGTAGGCTTGGCCAAAAATATGGCCTTTCTGAACCCGCCTAGACGGCTTCAAGGCCTGTCTACCACCCCGGACGAAACCCTGCCTCTCGGCAAAGCCTCGTCCGGGTCTCTCACTGCAAAATGCTAAGAGTTCGACTGAGAGTGAATCTCTTGATTCCTCCCTCTCTTCTCGGTACCAACCATATTTATATGGTCGGTACTCCACTATGCAAATTAGGTGGATCCTACCACAACAGGAAGAAACGAGGTAGATTCGCTTCCGTAGAGTTAACATGGCGTGTTCTGGTGCAAATGCTTTATCAGATTGACGTAAAAGAAATGTAGCACATCTAAAAATTTTCCATGTAAACAGTAACAGAGAAACCATAGTCTTGCTAGGTTTCGTCTGTGTGAATAAGGATACAATTAAAAAGCAAAGATTTTCGCCGATTTCCAAGACAGACAAGCACTTTTCAACATATAAACAAACGTGCTATGATTTTTCTTGACCTTTAAGTTTCTTTATTAGTACTATCATTTAAGGTAATCACCTCGCATAATTTCTGCATATGCTAGTGATTGGGGTTTGAAACTAGGTAAAATCTTGGCTTTTTGAAGCAAGACAAATATTTTCTATCTGGATAGTTTGCGTTAACCAGTATTACAGTAGTCAATACCCGATATTTAGAAAAACCGTTATTATCTGGTGATCGGGGATATATTTTTGGAGCATTGCTTTCTATCAGGAAAGAAAATTTCAACATGATTGGCGAGTTGTATGATCCAAAAGGAAGAAAGTGGTTTTATTTTGTTTTTCAGTGTTGACAACTATTTACGTATATGGAAGCTTGTGTAAAAATAAAATATCTATACTGATGTAAACATGCTTCCGTTTGAAAGGAAAAGTACATGACGATGTGTTTCAAAGTGAAAATACACATTTATGTTACGTGAAGACGTGCAGTCGGTTTCTGTGATGCTCCAGGTGTGCTGGAACGATTTGTTTTGTATGAGAAAGAGGGAAAATAACATAATGACAGTGAAGAATGACTCATGAAAGGGGGACAAAAGACGGATGTGGTAAATAAGGATTCATGTTTTGAAGGGCAGAGAAAAAAAAGTGCATCGGACGGAAGGCAGATGAAAAACATACGCGGGAAAAGAAATGATTGGCGAACAAAGAAAGGAAAAACAAACAAATAAAAAGACAGGTGAGTGAAAAAACAAAAGACAGGTGAATGTTGTAACAGAAAAGAACTGAAAGAATAGAGATTTTTGCTCGAATGTTTGTGAGGAAACGCCAGTAGCAAGGCAATAGTGTAGATGATCAGTGAGGAGAGAAATGCAAGACAGGAAGAGAGAAAGAAAGTAATAATATTGCATCAGAAAAAGGTAATGAATAATGAAGTGAGAAAAATGAAAATAACTGAAATCGGAGAGAAAGAAATGAGTATGAACGGACGAGGGAAAGAAGGCGCAGATGAACGGACGAGGGAAAGAAAGGCGATTATGAACGGACGAGGGAAAGAAGGCGCAGATGAACGGACGAGGGAAAGAAGGCGATTATGAACGGACGAGGGAAAGAAGGCGATTATGAACGGACGAGGGAAAGAAGGCGATTATGAACGAACGAGGGAAAGAAGGCGATTATGAACGAACGAGGGAAAGAAGGCGATTAGGAACGAACGAGGGAAAGAAGGCGATTAGGAACGAACGAGGGAAAGAAGGCGATTAGGAACGAACGAGGGAAAGAAGGCGATTAGGAACGAACGAGGGAAAGAAGGCGCATATGAACGAACGAGGGAAAGAAGGCGCATATGAACGAACGAGGGAAAGAAGGCGCTTATGAACGAACGAGGGAAAGAAGGCGATTATGAACGAACGAGGGAAAGAAGGCGCATATGAACGGACGAGGGAAAGAAGGCGCATATGAACGGACGAGGAAAGAAGGCGATGATGAACGAACGAGGGAAAGAAGGCGCATATGAACGAACGAAGGAAAGAAGGCGCATATGAACGAACGAGGGAAAGAAGGCGATTATGAACGAACGAGGGAAAGACGGCGATTATGAACGGACGAGGGAAAGAAGGCGCATATGAACGGACGAGGGAAAGAAGGCGCATATGAACGGAGGAGGGAAAGAAGGCGATTATGAACGAACGAGGGAAAGAAGGCGCATATGAACGGACGAGGGAAAGAAGGCGATTATGAACGAACGAGGGAAAGAAGGCGCATATGAACGGACGAGGGAAAGAAGGCGCATATGAACGAACGAGGGAAAGAAGGCGCATATGAACGGACGAGGGAAAGAAGGCGATTATGAACGGACGAGGGAAAGAAGGCGCATATGAACGGACGAGGGAAAGATGGCGATGATGAACGAACGAGGGAAAGAAGGCGAATATGAACGAACGAGGGAAAGAAGGCGATTATGAACGAACGAGGGAAAGAAGGCGATTATGAACGTACGAGGGAAAGAAGGCGATTATGAACGAACGAGGGAAAGAAGGCGATTATGAACGAACGAGGGAAAGAAGGCGATTATGAACGAACGAGGGAAAGAAGGCGATTATGAACGAACGAGGGAAAGAAGGCGCATATGAACGAACGAGGGAAAGAAGGCGCATATGAACGGACGAGGGAAAGAAGGCGATTATGAACGAACGAGGGAAAGAAGGCGCATATGAACGAACGAGAGAAAGAAGGCGCATATGAACGAACGAAGGAAAGAAGGCGATTATGAACGAACGAGGGAAAGAAGGCGCATATGAACGGACGAGGGAAAGAAGGCGCATATGAACGGACGAGGAAAGAAGGCGATTATGAACGAACGAGGGAAAGAAGGCGATTATGAACGGACGAGGGAAAGAAGGCGATTATGAACGGACGAGTGAAAGAAGGCGATGATGAACGAACGAGGGAAAGAAGGCGCATATGAACGGACGAGGGAAAGAAGGCGATTATGACCGAACGAGGGAAAGAAGGCGATTATGAACGAACGAGGGAAAGAAGGCGATTATGAACGAACGAGGGAAAGAAGGCGCATATGAACGAACGAGGAAAGAAGGCGCATATGAACGAACGAGGAAAGAAGGCGCATATGAACGGACGAGGGAAAGAAGGCGCATATGAACGAACGAGGGAAAGAAGGCGCATATGAACGGACGAGGGAAAGAAGCCGCATATGAACGAACGAGGGAAAGAAGGCGCATATGAACGGACGAGGGAAAAAGGCGCATATGAACGAACGAGGGAAAAAAGGCGCATATGAACGAACGAGGGAAAGAAGGCGATTATGAACGGATGAGGGGAAGAAGGCGATTACGAACGAATGAGGGCATTCATGGGTTAATTCAGTTAGGTAGAAGTCCTTTAGTTCTCTAATCGACAGGGTTTGCTGTCTACTTTGCTTCGATTGGCAGTCCATGTTGAATCGGGACGATTCGTTCGGTGATGTTCATGTTCATCTGCCACTGGTCAGATGGGAAACAAACCTTTTTTAGATTTTTGCTGTCCCCAAAGATAGCCATGTGGTTCCTCTTCGTTCTTGATCGTGTTTGCGTGATGGCCAAAGATTCAGTTAACTCTCAGTAGGGTCTGATCACGTGATCGCAGCAGGAGAACGTGATGGTGCCTGGAGTTCACATGGTTAATCGCCTGATGATAGCGTGATTTTGGAACCAGGTCATTCTCTGGTCGGATCGTTTCAAAGTTCACGGGCCTTCGCTTGTAGGTGGGAGAGAACGTAAAAACAGAAAGAATAGAGAGAGTGGAGCAGGGTATAGTTGATCATAAAACATTCGCTCGAGGTGGTGTAATGGTCAGCAAGCTTGTCTCGCTAGAACAACTACGACTGAGTAATGAGTTCCATCCTGAATGGGTACCCTTTACTTTCGGCCTTGTGACACAACTAAGCTACGCTTGGAAAAACAATCCTCACTGGTTGCCCTCTACTTTCGACCTTGTGCCACATCTAAGGTACGCTTGGAACAATCACTATTCGCTCGCAAATTGAAAACATTGGAATTTATTTATATTTTTATATATATCTATTTTTCGAATAGTTCGACTAGAATTTGTAATTTTTCTTTGGGGCGGGGATTTTTTAGTCTTACGCCTATATGGCTAATAAAATCGTAGCTACGTGACATGGTAAAATTACCAGCAATACATTTTATAGCAAAATGACTAACAATATATTTTATCTATAACTGAAGACATATAATTGAGTCTAAAATGTATTTAGTTGAAGCTATAAAACCGACTTCCAAATATTTATATTTCGATATTAAGTAATCTATAAAGGTCGATATGCCACTAACCAAAATCAACCTACAATCTTCCAATTCCTGAAACTTGTTCTGTTATTGTCCTTTCTCATCACTGAAGTCTTCTCATTCTCGTCTACTTCCAGTAACCCCTCCCCTTGCATTTTAGTAGCTTTATTGTCTTGCTTGTGGTGAATGATTAAAAAAAATATATGTATTTTATGAAGTCTGAGCCTTTCTTAGAATTTGTGAACAAAATAAAATCGACAAGTCTACCAACCCTCCAAAGGAAAAAAAAAAAAAACCATAAAACTGGTTGAATCTGATCGTACACTCAGATCCCAGATTTTAGACAAAACTGCACTACGCAAAATATAACATTATCTTCTTTCTTTGTTCTTGCAACATCTACGTGAACCTTAAAATACACAGAAATTGAAAAATTGATTCCAAGATAATAAAATTCTACTTAGATTTGTAGACAGCCGCTTCGTTCTAGCAAACTCCTCTTATGACTTAGTATAATTTAACAAATACAGAAGTCTCCTTTTGTCTAGATTTAAAATACTTTTAATAGTGACGTCACACGCTGGACATCAGACAAAGGACACACTTTTTCACCACTTCTATGTATCATGTTCCTTCAGTATGGTGACGATCATAGTTCGCCACAATTTCCTGTCCTTCATTGCTTTTAGTAAACTTAGTTATTTACACAAACTCGGCAGTTGCTGCTTACCGCCGACCCTCTTGGCCACACTCTGTCCAGCAAGTATCAGATTTTCCAAGCCCGCTTTCGTCACTATGTGCCCTAGAATTGTCAACAGTTTACTCATGATTTTTAAGTATAAGTTTTATTTTTTCTTTCCATTTTCTATATAACTTAGAAAGCGGTAGTACACAGTATATATATATATATATATATATATATATATATAGACTGGTCCTGTCTTGGGAATGTCTGATGATAGGATACCCAAGATCCTAATGTCATTTAGAACAGGGCTACAGGAATGTAGAACGCCCATGGCTAAGATATAAAGACAAGCTGAAAAGCAACTTGTTATCTGCCAATATCCTTCATAACACCATCGAGAAGCTTAGCCTTGGAGCGGGTAGAATGGAGATCAACGTGTTTTAGTGGACTCAGCAGTTTTCAATCTGCTTGTCTGAATCGTCTTCAAGAAGCGATAGCAAGATCTAAAAGGTCAACCAATCCAACAGTGATCTCATCCCACAATCCTTACTCTTGCTCCATATGCGGCCACCTTTGTAAATCACTAGCGGATTTAAGAGGCACTTAAGATTATCGCACAAAATTTCATTACTGAATTAATTAAGTTGTCAGATCTTCATTCGTCGAAACCGATGGGGAGTCCATTATATATATATATATATATATATATATATATATATATATATATATATATATATATATCTTCTATTTAAAGCTTTTCATATTGTATATAACTCACCACTGTATCAGCGGCCTTGGTTATATTTACACTATGTTAACCATTATTATGTTATTTAATGTCGAATTCTTAATGAATTCTTCGAACTTCGTAGACGAGCGTTTAAGAACCACACACAAACAACTGTACCAAATTACAGAAACCACTTGAGGACTTTCAGCAACAGCATCAACTAGAATAGATATCACGTAACATTTTTCCTACAGCCGAAAGTTTGCCTCTCTGAGTCTTTTCTATAAATACATTCATGCCAATTGTTTGGATATGCTCTTCACTATGGTACCTAGACTTCTGGCGTCAGATCTCATTAATTTACACTTGAGCCGGCTAGATGTAACCGTAAATTCAATGATAACATTTTGTTTTCTCACACTTATCACTTGTGGAACCTCCTTCCGGCTCCATGCTTTCCAGCCAACTTTAATCTGCAAAAATTTAAATGCAATGTTAGTGGCTATCTACTGTCCTCTTCCCGCTCATTTTCACAGGTTTCTAATTCTTTCACACCGTGTAACCCCTTGTGTCTTAGTAGCTTTACTGCCTTGCGTGGAGTGATAACAATTAAATACAAACACAAATGAACAGGAGAGAGAGGGAGGAGAGAGAAAGAATAAAGAGATACGATATTGACGTTATACAATACAAAAGCTGACTGGGAAGAAAGCACTCATCAAAAACCAGTTACTGTACTTAACAAACCTACGTTCTTGAAAATTGATTTTAGCGGAAAGATTTCATAAATTCCAAACGAAAGCTGCACACTCGCTGCTCAGTAAATGACTGCCGAATGTTTCCTTATAAGGAAATGTTTAATCTTACCTTTATGCAACGAAAATAACAATATATTTCCCAGTGTTAGAGAATAAGGCATTACAAAAATTTTAACCGGATGTCACTATGCAGAAACTTCTTGCCTTTCTCAAACATGTGAAAGATTCTTTTAGATGTTAGCTCGTGTTATTTTTTGTAAGACATCCATCTACCTTTTGTCCCTTCTTCATTTGGTTGTAAACAAGCCAATCAAGCAACGAGCAATCCACATAAAACGTAGCATTCGAAAGAGAAGTAATTAAAAAGAACAAAAAAAGAGGTCATTTAAAAGATACAGATCAAATGCTTTAGTTGTTGATGCACAGTTCACTAGGCTAACATTTTCTTATCAATGAATCCGCTGAGGCCAAGTAAAAAGGTGGAGTTCAAAGAGCTGATGCAAAGATCGTGCGTGGAGATAAGCCACCTGTGGAAGGAATTATTTTGAAGATGCTTTTATGATTCTGAACAAGAAGATAAAAGAAAGAAACTGGTAAATAAGAATATGATGGAGAGAAAATACAAAATAAGTAAATGAAATGAGAGGATCAAAAGCTGAAACTGAATAAGATATACATATTAGGACCTTGCCAAGGAATAGCGAAAGATCAAGGAATATAAAAATAAATTCAGTGCCTATAATCACTAGAATACAAGGAATGGTCACGAAGAGCATTGCAGAGATAGCATAAGAATAATCATAGTAGATACACTTACTTCGATTTCGAAAAAGGCAAC